TAAAAGAGTGCTTTTAACATTCCATCTCAGACAATGTGATCCTCATGGTGTTTTTGTGTAAGAGAGGAAAGAGGAAGTTAATCTATAATGAAGATTGACAGGAGGGGAGGGCCTTCCCTGGCACTCTTTCGTCTTTGACAGCATTTTTCTGAACAACATAGGCGAGGGAAAGCATTCATCTTTAATCAAAGTAACAAAAATTACAGCAGCCTGGGCCACAGACATCTGTTTACATGATACGTCCCCTCACATTTCCTTAAGGCTCAAAATATTTTAAAGTTCCAACAGCTTATTCTGAATTATTTTCATAAAACCAAGTAAGAATAGAGATCTTCTACTTGAAAGGCTGAGGTGGAAGGATTGCCTGAGCCCAGCAGGTCGAGGCTGTCGTGGCTGTGAACGTGCCACTGCACTCCAGTCTGGGCGACAGAGTGAGACTCCAACTCAAAAAAAAAAAAAAGAAAGAAAGAATAGAGATCTTTTAAGGGTTCTTATGAAATAATTTAGCAATACTCTCTGGAAATAAGAAGATACACATACGCATAACATATATACATAAACATACACAGATATAGACAAAAAGAGAACTTATGACTTTCAAAGTAATGCAGACCTTTCTAGTTTGTGTAAGAGCTCGTTTTGAATTGTGTTTCTGGTAGATGGAACGAGTTGTTACCTGTTAGTTATAAAGACTTAGGCTTTTTATCAATACTTTTGGAGGACACCTTTAAGATCTAATATGTGATCTTATAGAGGCCATAGTGCAGCCTCAAGTGGTTGTTTCAGGCAACTACAACACTACTGTTTAAAGGCTGGAGTGAACCAAGGAAAAGGCATGGGGATTTTGTTAGGAGAGTGGGGTTGTTATTGGTGTTTATCAGAAGGATAAATACATTTCTTATATATTTTTTTTCTTTTTCTTTTTTTTGAGTTGGAGTCTCACTCTGTCGCCCAGACCTGCTGGGCTCCAGCGATCCTTCAGCCTCAGCCCTCCACGTAGCCGGAATTACAGGCATGCGCTACCACGCCCGGTTGATTTTTTGATTTATTGTAGAGACGAGGTCTCGCTGCCCAGGTGGGTCTCGAACCCGCGGGCTCAGGCAATCCACTCACCTCAGCCTCCCAAAGCACGAGATTACAGGCTGAGCCACCGAGCCTGGCTCATTTCTTATATTTTATAATAAGAAGCAGTACTACATGTAGAATCAAGGAGTCCCAGTTCTGAGGCTGAAAGCTAGAGGTCTTTTCTTGGATGTTTGCATTTTAAAGGATGACTTTTAGATGGTTTTTGGTAATTTAGTTCTGAGTGGTAGCAGATTTACATCTGAAAGCCAGAGAGGAAGTCTTTAGGATTCTAAAGTAGCTCTACTTACTTACCCCCTGCTCTGTGAGGGTTTCCAGGGATGTATTTGCCTATTCCTAGTTTGGGTTTGGGCCAAATAGTAAATTCTCATGGCAAGTTTGAGACTTAAGTTGTAGGCATTTTAAGGAGAACTAGAGGGGTAGACAACATTGCTAGTCTTGAGAGTCTCCAGATTTTATAGGTTCAGGCTGAGGCCTCGTTGACAAGAAGACTCAGAGGGACCCCACTGACTGAGAAAGACTAGTTACATTTTTTTTTTTGAGTTGGAGTCTCACTCCATCACCCAGACTGGAGTGCAGTGACATGCTCCTGGCCACCGCAGTCTCGACCTGCTGGGCTCCGGCTATCCTTCCGCCTCCGCCTTCTAGTAGCTGGAACGACAGGCGTGCGCTACCGCACGCGCTACCACGCCCGGCTGATTTTTTTGATTCATTGTAGAGGTGAGGTCTCGCCAAGTTGCCCAGACGGGTCTTGAACCTGCGGGCTCAGGCAATCCACTCACCTCAGCCTCCCAAAGTGCGGGATTACAGGCTGAGCTACTGAGCCTGGCTTCACAGTTACTTTTAATTCTTTGTTAGGGTCACACACTTCCAGCAGGGCGCTGGGGGCGTGGGATGTGCCTGGTGTGTGAGCCCATGCCGCATGAAAGATGCAGAGAATTGCACAGAAGTTAGATGAGAAAATGTAGTTTATTTAGAAAGTAAATTAAAGAAAGTGAGGAAAAGGAAATTTACCTCCCCAAGGCAGGGGAGGGAGCCAAAGCTTAAGAAAACATGGCCTAGCCGTAACTCAGCAAGGCAATGGCGACCTGTTGCTTGTGGTTGAGCCCTTTTAACCATTTCCCTTGGGTGAGGGAAGGTCCTGAAGGGATTGCGTGGTGATCTGCTCCATCACGCAGGGGCAGGTGAGCGCAGGTGACGGACAGCAGGCAGGCGGGTGGGTTAGTGACATGATTGCTGCCAGGGTGGTAGGCTAGATGGGAAGAGACAAGGAGAGGTGGTTTTCCTGCAAGAGACTTTGTCAGACATTTGCAGTCCACAAACTCCTTGGCCAAAAGGGGGTCTATTATCATTTCCGCGGCTCTGTCCTTGTCTTGCATCTGATGGAGATTTACCAAAGGGATAGGGAAGGCAGGCTGCTGCTTGGCCTACAGTAGAACTTGTGATCGCTTCCTAAAACCTGCCTACTGGAAATTTACCTATCTAGGGGTAATCTGTGCTAGATTCAAAGCAGGTCAGGGGTAGAGTCCTAGCAAAAGTGGCTATGCTGAGGCAAAAAGACTAAATAAAGAGTAAACTAAGTTTATTCTAGGTTTCTATAGGTGTCTCCTTTCATTCTTCACAAAGAATCAGGTAGCAGTTTCAATAATAGCATTAAGGGGCTGGCCTGTCCATCCAACTACATCATTTTGAGTTTGTTTCTTTATATCAAAGAGAAGATTTCCTGCTGACGTGGAAACCAAAAGACTCCTATGTTCCAGGACTTCTGGATTTAGGGCCAGCAGAGCCTCCAGGATGAATTCTTGCCCTCTGAGCACACTGTTCCACTTGAGCCCAATTAACCTTTAGAGGGAGTCTTCCATAATAGCTGCTATCAGGTCTCCCGTCCAGCCATTTGTGGGAGGACGGTGGCACAGAGGAGCTTATGGTGGTGTGGATGTTAGGTCACAATACAGATCCCGGCAGGGCTTCCAAATGTTAGTTCAAACCCTTTGGGGCAGGCTTGTGCGATCTGGTGCCACATGAAAGATGCAACGAATTGCACAGCAGTCAGATTCGAAAGTACAGTTTATTTAGAAAGCAAATTAGAGAGAGGGGAGATTCACCTCCGCAAGGAAGGGGAGGGGCCCAAAGCTAGGAAACACAGCGACCATGGCTCAAAGAGCCACATGGTCAGACCATAGCTTAGCAAAGCACTGGCGCGTGGCTGCTGGTGGTAGAGTGCTTTTAAACATTCCCCTTGCTGGAGGCAGGTCCTTCCAGTGGTTGGGTGGTAGTCTGCTCCACGTCATCACAGAGGGGATAGGTAAGCACAGGGACTGACACCAGGTGATGGACGGCAGGCAGCCTGGTGGCCAGTCACATGACTGCTGCCATGGTCATCATTGGGTCTGTCTGTCATGAAGTTCACCAGGTGCTGATTAGGTTAACTTGGGTCTTATGGGTGGGGGCAAAGACTTGAAATAGAAAAAGCTAATTAGTACAAAACAAACTGGGGAAGGGGTTATAAAACAATTATCAATAGCTACCTCTGAGAAACCAGTCTGTCCTTGCCTAGTGGTTTAAGGATAAGGTAAGTGAATTGCTAGAAAAACATGACAACTAGGCAGTGTTAAAATGGCTGCTCTTTGGCTATATTAGCTCCATGTTATGTCCTTTCAGTGGATTCAAATTTTGTCCTAAGTCTGCTTTCTGTTCTTTAATTTTGTTAAGGAAGTCGTTTACACTAGCTGTGATGCTTTCTGTTATTGCTTCTTTCAGTTTGATCCTCTCATATGGCTAATAGGTCATTTGTTTAGAATGAGTGTTCTCTACAAATACTTCTAAATATAAAAGCTTTTCCAAATCAAAGGATCTGTCATCCGGTTATTGGCAATTTAGGATTTCCAAAAGCGGACCTTTTCGAAAACATGGCCTCAAACAATTAAGTCCTTGTATGACTTGACTATAAATTCTGAAGCCAAAGGAACTCAGCACTGATACATTTCATCATCTCCATGGTGTCAGTGTCAGTTCTGCTCTGTCTCTGCCTATAACTAACAACAACAGAAACCACAGAAATATAGTCACTTCCTGATAATCATCTAGGATTTTTGGCCAATATGATACCAAATAGATATTTGAGCTTTAAAATAGAATTGATTGTTTTTTGGATAATCTGAAATTCTAGATGTAATAAAAGTTTAAAATTAGATTTCTTTAAAATAAGGTAGTCTCTCACAAATCGTGTATTACAGGTAAGGACTCAGGACCAGTCAACCCTTCTTTACTTTGATACATATAATCAGAATATAGAATCTTTAGCGAGCATCAGGATTATAAACAACCTAAATTTGTAAATTCATTATTTTGACTTTTTTCCTGCTCTAAAACATTAATATGCTATCTGAATTAGTTTAAAAAGCTAGTCTTTTTTTAATTTCACAGACTCAACTGGCTTTAGAATATTCTTAGGAAAAAGATGTAGCAGAATATGCAGCATAGGGGAAAATAGCACTATGCAGTACTGTATTTTCCATAATGAAAAATCTGCAACACGAAATGTACGGTAGTGGGAAACTCTCTGAAGCACAAGTACAGCTGTACATATTGTCATGGGTTTATCAAGCTTGAGGAGTTATAATGCTCCAGTAGAATGCTTATCCTGTTAGGAAGAGATCTTCGGAATTTTAATTTACGTGTGATTTGGAAAACCTGCAGAATATTTCAAATCCAATGCGCAATCAATAATTGAACCTGTTTGTAATTATGTTTTCCTTTTTGTAGCTAATGGATCCTGGTGGTTTGTAGATTCTTACAGATCAGTCTCGCTCGGAAGATGCTTGGCCCAGACTGTGTCACGGGGTATCCCTTCTTGAGCGTAACTGTGACGAGTGTGTCTCCTTCTTTTCTCCCTGTGGCTGTGGAAACTCCCCCAGGTTGGCGGGTACTGGGATAAGTCCTGCAGCACCGTGACTCAGCTGAAGGAAGGGCTCAGCCGCATCCTCTGCCTCATCCCCTACAACGTGATCAATCAGTCCGTGTGGGAGTGCATCATGCCAGAGTGGCTGGAAGCCATCCGAACAGAAGTCCCCGGCAGTCAGTTGAAAGAATTCAGGGAAGTGTTAAGGTGGGTCAGTAGTTTAAGGAAGTCGCTGTAATTGAAATGATACCTAATGCTTACTGAACACATACGGTGTGCCAGGTACTCTGTAACAAGTTTTATATCCTCTTATTTACCTTTTAAGAACACTGTGGAGAAATACGAAGCCCCAAAATGAAATAACTGCAACAAATCAAACTAAGATAATTTGACATTTTCCAGAAAATATTCTGTTCTTGTGGAAAAGCAAATAGATACGCCATATTGTTTGCTTACTTTCAAATATCATTATGATTGGTGGGGTGTAATGGGAAAGTACAAAGGGAGGCTGTTTTTAGATGCTGGGGAGCAACTCTAATGCCTTAGAAGTGCAATTTCTCCTGTTAACCTGATAGAAGGATGAACACTAATGTTATTAACTACCATATGCATTATTTATAAGAGCTCTATTCCAATGACATAAGCTACTCGTACGGTAAAACGAGACATGCTAATAACAATTCAGAACACAGACTCTCTAAAGAAAGAATTTTGCTTCCCAAATGGAGTGTAGTTAGAAATACTTGGGTGGCATCAGTAGACCCTAACCTGTACCCATTGGTCATTGACTTTTGTTGCTCTGCTTTCCAGCAAAATGTTTGACATTGAGCTATGTCCTCTGCCTTTCTCAATGGAAGAGATGTTTGGCTTTATTAGTTGTCGGTTTACAGGATACCCCTCCTCTGTGCAGGAGCAAGCTTTACTATGGCTTCATGTAAGTGAATGATGCTTTTGATCATTTGGGGCACTAGTTCTTAGCCTTGAACTTTAGATCCCTGGGGTAGAAAGGATGGACGTTTTGCAAAGGGTCCACAAGTCCCATGTTTGCCAAGGACTGTCTGTAGACTAACACCCCATTTGCATAGATAAATGACTAACTTTCAAATATACAGTGTATAGCTCTAGTTCTGGTTATAAAATATAAACTTATGCAATAGTATTGCTGAATTTGTGGTAGTTTTGGTCCTTAAGTATTTTTCCATCAATGGATACTAAAGCTGTGTTATGGAATTTTGATAAATCTTTGACATTAAACAAGTCCTCTACTTGGAAAGGTTGGGAACTATTGATTCAGAGTGTTGTGCATGGCTGTTCCCTCAGCCTGGAGTGACTTTTTTTGTGTATCCATTTGTGACTTCTAACATATCCTTTAAGGTCTTGAGTTAGACTTTATCTTCTCTGTGAAATATTTTGCTACTTCCCACTCCCATCTTCCCATCAAAATCCCTTCCCCCAGTAGTTATACAGGTTCCCTGTATGAATTCTGTTCTATTTTTGTCTGTTTCTCCCAGATTACAAGCTCCTTGAGTACAGGGTCCTAGTTTTACTCATTTTGGAACTGACAACCCTCTTCATCCTTTCTTCCTTGCATCTGGCTTATGCTTTGTGTTTGGCAGATGTTCAATAAAACGTATTAAGTTGATTTGAATATAAAGTTTGGGCCGTGTCAGAAAATGAGGAGAATCATTAGATTAACCATGGCTGCAGATACATTTCTGTGCCATGCAAGGATGTGATCCCATAAACTCTTCAAGTTGTACAGATGCCTTTCTGGGTTTGAAACTAAGGAATGATATTTTTCACAATTGACAAAGAGTATAAGGACCATTTTTAAAAAGTCACCTTTGGGACTTTGAACTTTAACTTTTTATCTCCAAATAAATTCCAGTAAGCTACATCTCATTTTAAGAAAACCAGTCTTCTGTGGATTTCTGGATGTTACCCCAGTTACTCAGTTGCACACCCCTTAGGCTATGCGTTCTGGGGATGAGCAGGCTGGACTATGAACCTCTGTCTCTGCCCTCACCAAGACAGTTGCAGTTCACATGTTTACAGTCCAGGCTTTGACACAACTTTGGTTTTTTGTTAAATTTACTTTAAAGATGTAGGGTACAATTCAGGATTAGGTATACAAGTGGGCATCATACAGGTAGAGTTGGGCCTCCCTTTGGTTCCCACTTGGCTTGGTTTGAGATCAGGTGCCCTTACGGATGTTGTGTCCCCTCCCCTACCCCCTCGTCAGTATCCCGCTACTGCCAATCCCTTTCTTAGAGTATTATGGTAAATGTTCAGCATCCACTTTTGAGTGAGAATGTATAGTACTCTGTTCTTTGCTTCTGTGATAGATCACTGAGTATGATAGACTCTAAATCCGTCCAAAATGCTGCAAAGTCCGTATGTTTGTCCTTCTTTATGGCTGCGTAATATTCCATTATGTGTATGTACAACATTTTTTTTTTCCAGTAATGTTTTGATGGGCAGCACGATTGGTTCCATGTTTTTGCTATTGTGAATAGTGCTGCAATAAACATGCAGACACAGCTTTGATTTTTAAGACAGAATCCTGCAGTTGAAAGAGGTTGTCAAGCCCCCAAGTCTAACCATTTGGGGGATAGAGTGGACACTGCAGTGGTTGGAGTTGACTCAATTAATTTTGGAAGCAGGTACAGAACTCCCATGCGTCAGGCACTGTAACAGGAACTGAAATTAAAATGGAATCAGAAACAGTCCTTTCCTCATTCCTCCTTTTTTCAAGCAGCTCACAGTGGGGGAAGGATGATAAGATTAGACAATCACGTAGAACAAAAAGTGAGAATGTTCTGATGAAGTTCTAAGAAAGCAGAGAAAAGGGATGGGTTAATTATTTTTGGAGGAAGGAAAGTTCCAGAAAATCCATTGCAGATAAAGTGACTTGATTTTGGCCCAGATTGACAACCAGCTTCTGCCAGAGAGCATGATCAATCGAGTGGGGGTCAGAGTAGGGATGAACTGGAGGAAGAGTACTTGCAAGTTACACTATTCCAGAAGAAAGGTGGCAAACTGAGGCACCAGCAGTGGCTGTGGATGGAGAAGCAGACAGCGTCAAGGGAGACTCTCAAGTGTTGATAGAAAACGTGGTGACCTGTTGATGGGAAGAAGGAAAAGGCCAACGATAATGTTAATGTTCTTAGTATGAAAACGTGAGGGCGATTGTGCCGGTAGAGTACATGAGAGGCAAAATGTCCTTGTATTCAATAGTTTGCTTTGGGAAAAAAAGGTAAATTCAATTTTTCGAACTTTAAAATTTATATTTTTTGGGGGGGGTATATGCCTTTCTTCCCCCAGGTATTATCGGAGTTAGATATCATGGTTCCACTTCAACTATTAATCAGCATGTTTTCTGATGGAGTTAATTCTGTCAAAGAACTGGCAAATCAGAGGAAATCAAGAGTCAGTGAATTGGCAGGAAACCTTGCAGCTCGAAGGGTAATTATTGCCATGTCTGTTCTTGTCTTACTTAAGATTTAAAAACTCTTGTCAGTTACACCAGGCCTGAAACTTCTCTAAAAATTAGTTTATGTCCATCTCACTGTTAGTCTTTTAACCACATTAAATAAGAAAACATTTATCTATGATATATGTAATATGGTGTGTAATCAGTAAACTACTGAGTTTTCATTTTCCCTGAGTGCTGTGATTTTAGCTGTCTCTCGCCCTTGAGGAAAGAAAAAAAGTTTTTTTAATAGCATTCCATTTTGGGGGGTCTCCTGGTAAATAAGAGCTCTCTACCAGCTACTGAGCAGATCACTGCTTCACTTTGGGAGTGAGGAGTTTGGGTTATTTTTTTCTTTTTCTTTTTGTCATTGTATTTTGGGAAGGTGAGATCAACTGGTGGGGACTGAGTGATGCTGTCACTGTGAGCCAACTGGGCCTATTTTGTTGATCCTTTTGCATCTTTATAGATGAAAAAGGTCAATATAGTGTAGTCTGAAGTGTGTGAAAGCCATTGGAAAGTGCTGAGGACTGAACAGAGTTTCTGCTGATGTGCTGCCATTCACAGACTCTGATCAACTTTGGAAAGGTTGACTCTCATCTGATGCGTAGCAAGGAGTGTTCTCAACCTTCTCTCTGTAAAAATTTCCCCATTGTATGCTAAAGACTCCCAGCCATTTGGCCTGACATCCAGGGATTAGAAAATATTACATGGTTATGGGATCATAGTTTGTAGTTAGTGCTTTTTTTTTTTTTTGTGAGTTGGAGTCTCACTCTGTCGCCCAGACTGGAGTGCAGTGGCCGCTCCCGGCCACCGCAGCCTCGACCTGCTGGGCTCCGGCGATCCTTCTGCCTCAGCCTTCTGAGTAGCCGGAATTACAGGCATGCGCTACCACGCCCGGCTGATTTTTTGATTGATTGTAGAGATGAGGTCTCGCCAAGTTGCCCAGGCGGGTCTCGAACCCGCGGGCTCAGTCAATCCACTCACTTCAGCCTCCCAAAGCGCGGGATTACAGGCTGAGCCACCGAGCCCGGCAGTATTTTCATTCTTAATGGGGCACCCTTCCTCTTTCCCTTAAAAATGGCATTTGAAGAGCTTTCTAATGACTAGAAACATCTTTAAGAGAGAAAAATATGATTTGAGAGTGATGTACAGATAAGTGAGTCAGGGTCCTGATTCAGAATTTACCCCAGATGGTCAGAATGAAGAGATCTTTATGGGGACTCCCCCTCCAGAGTTATGGGAAAAGTTAAAAGAGCCATGAGGGTGAATAAAGCACCCAGACTCCAGCAACAGTCCAGTCGGAAGTCTGCCCTAAGGGCTGAAGAGACAAGGAAAAGAGTCATGGAACCCAGTGAGGAGCTGAAACTCTCGACGGAGACTCTCCCAGAGAGTAGCACCAAAACAGGCAGAAGATGAGAGGAGTGCTCCTGCATCTCTTCCCGCTTTAGGCCTTTGCAGGTGCGGGTTTTTGACTGAGCTCAGCTGGAAGCCAGGCAGCAAAGGAGCTGGAGATAGTCCATACATCCTTGGTCACAGAAGGGCAGGGGGGCCTGAGGTGGAGCTTGGTGGGCCAGTGGAGGATAACCAACACACTAGGTTTGACATGTGTTGTTTCCCATGGATTTGAATAATCATAGCCCCCAGCGGCCAACCTTCTTTAACTAATCATGCCATTCTGAAATTGTGGCTTGTGATTCTACAGATCATCTTGTACTATTTTACTTTGGGAAAGTCTCATTCTTCAGATTATGGTTGTCAGTAGATTCAGACAATTTAGTTCATTCGGAAGTGTTTGATGGGATAAAAAATACAATGGCAAGTGCCTTTATTCTTCAGGGTCTTGATGTTTTTTTCCCTGACAAGTAGTCAGAAAGTTTGTTTGGTTTTATTTCTTACTTTTATATTTGGGGAAGATCCATGTATTTATATTTTGGAGGTACTAATGCCATTGGTCTAGGAGGGAAATCTGTGTGACGGCTGAAAGTACCTTCCATAGAATCTCCAAATATGCTGCACAGCCGTTTGCACTTCTGTCAGTTCGTTTATGTATGCTGCCATTCTTTCTTGTAGGTGAGCGTTGCCTCTGATCCTGGTCGACGAGTTCAGCACAATATGCTCAGTCCATTTCATAGTCCTTTCCAGAGTCCATTTCGGAGTCCTATGCACAGTCCATTTCGTAGCCCTTTCAAGAATTTCGGACACCCAGGAGGAAGGACTATTGACTTTGATTGTGAAGATGACGAAATGAATCTAAACTGTTTCATCCTCATGTTTGATCTTCTCCTGAAGCAGGTAGCTGAAGCATGAGCTTCCTTTAGTTCAGAGGTGGAGACTGAGGGAAAGCACTGTATAGTCATTGTTTCCACGCGTTGGGCATCTTCACACGTCTTGAAGTGATGCAGCATCACTCAAGACCTTTTGCAAACTCTTGGGTATTTCCTAAAGAGTCTGAAAATTACTTGTGTGAATATCTGCAATGATGTTGGCATATGAGAATGGATTTGAATTTTAGAAGTACCCTAGCATCATTAGAATTGATTCTGTTGAACAAACTGGATGAACAAACTGGATAATACTATTGTTGGGAAGAGCAAGGTACAAATGTATAGCTATGGGGCTAATTTTAATATACTTTAGAAATTGATGTTTGAAGGTAATTTAAAAAGAGAAGTTAAAAAGGTTTTGATTAGGAAAATATTTTTTTTTCTTTTTCTTTTTTTTTTTTTAGTTGTAGTCTCACTCTGTTGCCCAGACTGGAGTACAGTGGCCGCTCCTGGCCACCGCAGTCTTGACCTGCTGGGCTCTGGCAATTCTTCCACCTTAGCCTTCCAAGTAGCTGGAACTACAGGCATGTGCTACCACACCCAGCTAATTTTTTGATT